TCATGTCGTTCCAAAACCAAGGGTGAGTATAAAAGGTATGAAAAGCAAAAACAAGGCAGTATGCCAATAGGGGATACAGGATCGGACAAAGGACTTGCGTGTGTATAAAAGAAGTAGTGGACTACAACTCCAGGTTGATTGACATTGTGATCTTGACTCGCAAACTGAGGGTCGCGGGTTCGAATCCCCGTCACACCAAACATGCTTGCCCTTTCAGCCGTGAGGGCGTTATAATATGACGGTCAATCCCAATATTCGTTAGTAAAAGAGTAGCCCAAGAGTTGGCGGTGGATGGTGATGACTAGCTGCCTTCCCTCGAGTCTTACACTGCTAAATTAGGGACGGCTAGCGCAGATAGCCCTCGTGTAGCTTTGAGCGAAATTCAAAACAAACAAACACTGTCAAACTGAGAAATTAATGTTATGTTAAATATCTACCTATGGAAATCATGAACGATTTTTTAAAACAGCAAACAATTTTATCAGGCACCTGTAGAAAGATGTGTAATTCAGCATTTCACCCATCACCACAAAACCTTACCAAAACATATATAATGACAAAATATAACATCAAACTATTATAAATAACGGCTGTAACCTTATATCAGTTCATACTAAACATTTAGTACTTGGTTTGTACTTCTTGTACTCTGATAACCTCCACAAGACAATGTGGCATGCTGTCGATGAGGTTATTGATGTACTCTACCGTGATTTCATCCCAACTTGTCATTAGAAGGCGCTGCAACTCAGCTACAGTAGTTGGTTTAGGGTCGTGGTTAGCAATTTCCCTTCTCAGTTCTACCATAAAGTTCTCAATGGGATTACAGTCTCGAGACTTTGCTGGCCATGGCAATCTCGTAACGTCTTCCTGGTCGAGATAATCTTGTCCGTTTGCCTCTGGACAGTCGAACAATTTAATGTCATATAATTTCTGGCACGTGACAAGGCATGATTCTATACCAAGTACAGACAAATTGTCTGGACAGTATTTCGAAAAAGATTATACCAAAGGCACATAATTTTATACGAAACAGATGTGTATGTGTGTTTTGACTAACAAATGCTCAAAACAACTTATACAGACCAGAATAACAACTCGTACATGTTTGTCCGATCATACGCTACCTTCTCTGTTACTACTCGGGCATTTACTCAGTAACTACTCCATGCATGTAGATAATAACATCATAATAGAACATATAGCTAATTTTAGTTTTGACGTATAATGATTACGATGCAATGTGTCATCGTTGACCACCCACGCTGTTAGCTTTGTTTTTGCTAAACCCTTTATGGGTGAAGCAATGTATCTCTATTAAAATGCATACCTATAGTTTTTTGTGTCTTTCACAATAACTCACTGTTTCCACACTTGGACCTTTCTAGAGATCACATGCTGTGAAGCGCGTATTGAAACTTGCCATAAATTAACTTTCTCATATGCGCAAGATTTTCTGTAAATATCAATTCTGTACTCCCCAGAGGACCGTTCTAAATCAAGTCATATAATTATCTCTGTTCCTGATGTATTAAAGCACAAACTTAGCTGATTATGTGAAAACGACTGAATGCGTGTTCACAAAGTGATAAACATATGGTTCTAAACGAACAGCGCATGCGTATTTTAGATCTAAATAAGTCGAGAAAGCCCAAAGAAATTATATTTAGTGTAATGTCCTTGTTTTGTAGAAAATTGCACACATGTAAAGTGTTGTTTGTTTGAAATACTTCACAAACAAAAAAATACTAAAGTTGAAATCGAAGCCAGTCATCACATGTTGACAACGACATTGTGCCATCTTGTACCATATTCGTGCATAAAAACGTTTGACTGAGCAAAATCACGTAAGGTAATTCTGAATTGAAAAGCCAGTATATAACCCAGACTCCTTTCTAACGATATGAGATTTGTAGCGTTTGATCGAGAAATTTGCGAGAAAAGTTTCCGACAGATAAAACACATGCGTACAATTTGCATACATTTCTTTTTACCACTCGCTTATAGTGCCACCTATCTGTCCAAATTTAAATATGATCTCTATACATTAAAATAAGGTCTGAAACTTTTTATTCATATCATATTTGATCTTTCAATATTAATGAAGTTGTATTTGAAATACTTATTTAAAGTCAAATAGGCTAAATTCTTGTAATTGTACAATTACTCATACTAGACCTATATCGCTCTAATTATAAATCAGATCAATCGTGGGCTATTCCATTCATATATCTATATATAAGTATTTTTAGAAAATTCCATTGCGACTTTTGAATCGGCGCAATCATAAATTAAGTTACGTAACATGATATACTAGTTACTAGTACAGCCTCCATAGTTGAAATCACGTGTCATGTACGTTTAATAAATGACAGTCTTTACGAATGGCTTCACTTAATTCGTTTTATAACATCATCTTCATCGGGATTCGGTCCATGTTTTGGACCAGGGAGAGTCAGGTTCAGCGTAAATCTCTTTCTCTCTCTTTGGAATTGTTATTTTGTTTACACTGTTACTGAATTCCAGGCAATAACCCTTGTTACATTGTTGTTGTTTCATTACTTACAGTATGTTACATTTTGTCCATTGTCCGCAGTTTCAATTAACATACTCTTTTCGTGCCACGTCCAATTCATGGGCTGATATTAACTCGTATATTTTCACTAACTTCACTTATGTATGATCGCACTATTAGTCGGTGTTCACAATACAGTTCCACTTAGCAATCATATACACGCACACACAAACAATCATATTTTTACACACAAAACCCTTTTAAAATAGAGTCTCGATTGTGTCTAGGATTCAGTTAGCCTAACACTGTTTGACCTGAAAGATTATTATTTCTGATGTTTAGAAGGAAGAGGTACTTAGGGCTTGATTCATTATGTAACTCTCTAGTTTGCTCCTCATTTCATTTATATTTTTCTTATAATATTGAAGCGAATTATCCAGAAGTTTGACTGATAGAGTTGGCAGGTTTGAATAGATGTGTAGAAATTCTGAGTTTGTTGATCGTGGGACTCTATATGCCTTTGTTAATATCTATGTTTTTATTTGCTGTAGTTTGTTGATGTGTGTTTTTGATACATTTATCCATGTTTTACAGGCATATTCTACGACTGGCCTTACGTATGTTCTGTACATATTTAACGTTTTCTGATGAAGCTCCTTGTTTGTTGCCAGTCAGATTCCTAAGGTAACTCGCTCTTTTCTAAATTCTGGTTTTTATGCTATTAAAGTGTGGTATCCAGTTTAATTTTGGGTCAAATGTATTCCCTAAGAATTTTGCTGATGTTGCTATCTGTAAGAGAGTCCCGTCTAGATGTAACTGTGGTATTAATTTGCTTGTTTTGTACGATTTTGTAAATACAGACTTGTGTTTTGTGCGCAGTTATTTTAATTCTCCACTTATTGCAGTACAATTATATTTCGTTTAGTAGTGGTTGTATATTGTATGTTGCTGTTGTTGGGTTTGGAGCACTCTTCCAGACTGCATCATCATCTGCGAACTATGAGCAAAAAGTGTGTGTTTATTTTCTTATAGCAAAGCCACATCGGGCTATATGCTGTGTCCACCGAGAAGAACTGAACTTCTGACTTTAGCGTTTTAAATCCGAAGACTTTACCGCTGTCCCACCGGGAGACTGATGTTTAAGAGGTTTGCTGTATGACACCAAGAATTACATTTTTTTCCTGATCATTAAACGCTTACATGCATACTGATATCTGGAGTTTGCATTAATAACTTATTCTTACCACGATGAAGAAAAATAAAGCTTTTCAATATATACCGATACTATTTTTAGCCAAGTAATTTGTGTTTTTTATTTGGTTCTAAATATAATCATTATAACTATTAGTGGTATTCGCAGTCATTATTTTAAGACGCGTATGTAAATGAAGATATTAGCGGTAAGTCTGCCGACTTATAACACTACAAATGGGATTTCGATACCCTTGGTAGGCACAGCATAGATAGTTCATTATGTAGCTTTGTGCTTAACTATAAACTAATTAACGCAAATAAATTCACATCAGAATAGACATAATTATCCACGAAATTTCTAATTTTTTTTGTATCTGATTAGACACATGCCCTTCTATATTTTATTTAAGAGAAATGTGTTTAAACCTTCTTACAACTAGCAACATATAACAGAGAACTAATATTTTCAAATAATAAAAGAAACCATGGGTGTACGCAAAAGGGCATTTGCCCCCTGGAAAATGAGAAACATATTTCTTTATACATTCAAAATATACATACCTTTATATAAACCCTTGATTGCGAGTCGAGCGCTCTAACCACCGGGCCACGCCGAGCCCACTACAGAAAGAACACAGTATTTACAAGATAATTCGAAGACATTTTTATTATTATTATCATTATACCAATTCCTATATCAAGATACTCTTATTTCATGTTTTAAGCAGTTTAGTGGAATTAAATCTTTTAATATTAGGTACTAGAGAACAAAACTTAACTAAAAGTATTTGCCAGATCGAAATTAGATTTGATTATAAAAGCTCGTACTAAAATCAATGTCCACTGGGCGGTATGTGATAACCTTACGGACTTACAACGCTAATATCCGAGATTCGATTCCCCGCGATGGCTAGAGAGCAGATAGCGCATTGTGTGGCTTCGTACTAAGAAAACAACAATACATAACATCAATGGCCTTGAAACAGAACACTTGAAGTTAAGCAGAATATTTGGAGATATTTGATCTAAAGAGAGCACAAAAATATAATTTCTAATCCAAACGCAATTATATATATGTATTGTTCTGTAACGGTTACAGTGGTTCATTGAAATGTTCTTAGTTTAGTTTTTAGAATGTTAATCTAGATTTTGGCAATTTCTTCAGAGAACCAAGATGTCTTCCCATCCTAAAAGTAAACGAAGTGCGAAAAACAACAGTGTGGTATATTGACAACGTATTGGAGAATAAGAAACAACTATTTCACAATGTAAATATACATTGTTACACTTTATTAAAACTACACAATATACATACACAATGCTCCTCATTAGATAGTACAATAAAGTAATGCCACATATATTTAAAATTCAAGATATAGTAGGCAGCTATGTTCAACTTTTACTCAAAAACATATTTAAAACGTTGAGATCACCAGATGATAAATATACGTCATATTGATGATATGTGATGTTGTTAATCACTTACTGAATGAAAGTATTATTTTTCACCAAGGCTACAGCGATAAATATACTGAATTACATTCTTTCACAAGTAGATGTTATAAAAAAATCAACCTATAAGAACACTGTGGTTGTAAAAACAAAACAACAAAAACTTTCAAGTTTTCTTTCATTTTTAACTAGTATCGTTATTACTGAGACACTGATGAAGGTTTTGGTGGAAGTTTCTAAAACTTGAAAGGCACAGCTGTAGAGTAGTAAACATAATATTTTGTTACAAAATATGCCACCACTCTCAAACTTTCTAAACATTTAAGTGTGAAAATAGTTTGAATACATTTTATAAAGAATTAAATGGGTAGAGGAAATAATTTTTTGCAGTTACTTAGTCTAAATAATACATAAGAGACTATGTACGTTCAAAACAAGGTACCTGCTTCCCAGATGGAAAAAATAAATATAAATCTCAAAGAAAAAACTATGTCACAGAGGCAGTTATTATGTCCCTATAACGAAAGTTACTGAACCTTAACACATCTACACTCCTATTAATTTCAAGAAAAAAGTACAGGCAGAATTTTGTTCTTCATAGTATATACGGATAAGTTAAAACAAAATAATCAGTGGGGATTAACTCAAATGATGCACTCAAGAGTTGAGTTCCTAGTATATACAGGTAAGTTAAAACAAAATAACCTATGTGGATTAACTCAAATGATGCACTCAAGAGTTGAGTTGGATGAGCATAAAATCACATATTAGACCACACTGCAGCAATTGTCCATTATCAATTCTTTACATAGAAAAAATACAATTTATTTACTTATTTAGTGGCGCTAGGTGATTGTGATATGGATCATATGTGATTATGTATGTTTCTGTATAAAAATATTTTTTCCAGATATTTGAAAAAAAAATTAAATAATTAGATGTGTTACTGAAAAAGTAATTATGCTAATCACCAAACTTCCGTTTAGAACTGTTTTAGCACTGCCGGGATCTAGCTTCACATCTTTATATGTTCAACCAAATATATCAAGAGGTCAAGAGCTATCAAAGACAGAGATTTGTTAATTTTGCTTTATTTGATACTGATGTAACAGAACTCCTACCTATGTAACTGGCCAAAGGTATTTGTCTGTTCATAGCAAAAAAGTTTTCTGTTTTCTCTGTAGCTTGATAATAGTTTAAACAACAATGGTTCAGAACATTTCTGTTTTTTAGACTGTTTAATCACAGGACTTACAATTCATCAAATAATTTCATCTAATTCACTGTTTCTTAAGAATTTTACCCTGAGGCATTATGCACATAAATACATTGCAAAAACCTTTACATCATATAGATATATGGTTACATATGCTGAAAAAACTTCATGACAGACTGAAGTTGCTTTTGTATTTCTTTAATAAATTACACTGAATCACTTCCACACTTTCTTTGAGAAATTAAAGAAAAAGTACAAAAAACAACATTGATATTTATTACAAGTAATGGGAGAAAACAGCAACCTTTGGCAAAAACTCTGAACGTGAGGAAACATACAATTGCCAGAGAATACATTATCATTTGTACAAAAACCATTAAAATCATACTGAGAAACATATTCAAAATACATGCATACCAAATTCTCCTTTTACATGACATTTTTCTCCTCAAGAATAGAAATGGCAGTGATTGTTTTAATTATCAGATTATGGTCACCATCATGATACAAAACTACTGGCAGTGTTAAACTGATGATGCCTAGAACAAGGAATTACAAAGATACTTCCCTTACAATTGTTATAACTTTGTATCACATTCGTGTTGGTTTCTTTGGTTTTAAAACATATATTCTGCTTAGGGATGAGGGAGAAGCCCATAAAAATTTACATACAATACTATTTCTTTCATAATCCAGTTGTAGTCATGCCAGTTTGAAAACTTGGTTGGTTGTAATTGAAAAATAATTCTGTATTAATTTGTAAAAACTCTTTAACATTTATGTTCAAATACTAGTGGAACAAAAAGTACACAGACAGTTGAGGCTTGCTACTTAACCAATAATTATCCTAGTTCAGTACATTATCTACTATTAAAAACAGAATCACTTATCTATCATATGCCAAGAAAGACTTAAAAGCTTAACCAATTTGTTTTCCACTGTTATCTTAGTTTAACAAAGTTAATTTCCTGCTTTTCTTCACCACTAACTGCTTTGTCAAATCTGTTCTTTGAAAACTGATAATTTTTCTATCTAAGCTATACTGATAGTAAGGCTTGCTCTGTCCATCTCATCTGAATTTCTTATTATTTATGTATGACCCTTTCAAAACTGATGCACTAATGCCCTTTTTACATTAATGTTACGTTTTTATACATTTAAACATTACAGCAAAATTAAGTTCAGACAAGGGACAATTTATGAGAAATAATAGACATACAAGACATAAATTAAGAATTTTAATGAACTTGTATACTTCATCATCATTATAATTAAAAATAAAATACAATTAGCTTGATCATTTTAGTTTCTCAATCAAATTCCCAGTCCCAAGACCATGTGGTCTGGCCAAAAGCTTGTCTTCAAACCATTGATATAAAAATATATCAACCATTGAAGTAGATATATACTAAAAATTAAATTAGATGGTTTATGCTAGAGTAAATAGCTAAGTAACTGTCATTATACTTGTTGCTCTTGTACTTTTCTTAACAGTTTGCCATGCTAATTACTAGTAATGAATATACAAGTAAACATTTCAGGCATGTTCTTACATGTTAATGATTTGATTTAGAGATAAAGAAAAAGAAAGGTTTCAAAATGTGTTAATAACAATACCTAAGTCCACATTTACACAGAAGGCAGAATTAGAAAGACTAAAATGATGGCTCTTAAGCCTATATAGTTAGAAATGGATAAACTGGTAAAAAACTATGCATAAACAATTCATCTGATGGCTGATTGGATGCTTCTTTGGATGATAACATCACAGAAGATTAAAATGAGTTGGACGGGCTGTGATTTAGAGATCTTTTTTAATCATTCAAGTTAGATAAGAAATAGAAGATACAAACTAGCATATTTCAGTTGTAGCATTATGAACTATGGCCTATGTAAAAAAAAATCCATAAATTAAGACTAGGAATAAAACTGGTCATGAATAGGTGATTGTGAGTATATTTTTTTACTTATCAAAACTTAGAAAATATTACAATTCTACAGACCATTTTCATAATGAAAAAAATTTTATGTTTCTTGTCTTTGGAACAATCCACAACTAAAACACTAACTTAAAAGTCCTCAAATGAAGAGAAAATTCAGAAACCTGAGAAACATTTCTCAGAAAAATATGTACTTTAACAAAACCAAAATTATGCTGAAATATACAAATTTGAAACCCAATTAATTCTCTGGCTTGTCAAAGTTAGTCTTGGCATACTAAAAAGAACAAAATCATTATAATAAATGCTTTCTCTATACAGTAGTTATGAAAATCATCATTCCTAAAACTATGTCAGTTACGGGTGCCATCTGAACTAAAATGGGGATCACAACAATCTCCTTCAGTTAACCACACTAATTAGAGATAAATTATCCATCCTGCAACCAGTAACAGGTTTTTAAGAGAGTCAGGAATTGTATGAGCAGGATGGTGTAGCCATCTTCCAAGAATGACCAAGACAGTCTCAACTAATGCTGGATGTTTAGGAGACAAACTGGGTTTGGCCTGCAAAGTAAAGATTAAGATAAGACAGGTTTTACAGAGAAAAGCAAAGTCATTAAAATGAATTAGTTACTGAACTTATAGGGCTGACAGAAAATTAATTATTTCCAAAAATATTCACACCCCTATACTTGTTTATACATATGAACATAACCTGAATATTTCAAAGTCTCAATTGGAGTAAAAGTACCTTACTTCAGGTGAATTATCAACCTATGGGCATGTTAAAAGGACAAACAACTTAAGTGGTTATTTATAAAAGGGAAAAACTGGGAAAAACATTCCATTAAAACTGGAAATTTCTATGCACAATCATGATTTTCAAAGTTACCTTATTAATAAAAAAAGATTAAGCAGATTTAAAAGCTTTGTTAAGGCACTTGGTTTTTTCATTTATGCTTGATTGTCAACATCACTTTATGTTTTGTATACATTTAACCAGAAACTTCACTTGCAGAACTTTCATTCAACATATGTACAGGTTTACTTGGAACCAATGCACTTTTGGTTTTCTTGTTAAAACTGTGTTGAAAAATGGAAAAATACCAATATTGATAAAATTACAAGATCAAACATATATTTATCATGCCTAACTGAAAATAAGAAATATTTCTAAGTTGGTTTTACCTTGGTGCTGTTGGATACAACTGGTACTGCTTCTTTTAATACTGGAATGATTAGCTATTGATCTGTAGTTCTGCACTGGCTTGACTATCTCTTTGTTGGCTGAGTAAACAGACATTGTGTCTTTCTGGGACTCAGCACCTATCAGCAAGGACATAGTTGGATAAGAAACAGATGAATACACTTGAGTCTGGGAGTAATCATTAATGGGCAGTGATATCAATGCTTGTGAGGCAGTTTTTCCAGAAACCAGTGCTGTAGGTGTACGTGTGTGTCGAGGCTGAATCATCACACTGTTTTCTAGTGCAAACTGAGATGACAGAATATTTAGCTGAAGTCTGGACTGTACCTCATCAGGAATAACCGATGGAGACTGACCACTTGGAATATTACCATTGACTGTACAGTTCACCGAGGAGTTCAGCTGAATATTACTAGTAGTAGGAGATGAACCTACAGTAGATGGGGGAACATTGAATTCTGGAAGTGCTTGTGGTAGAAGCACATTAGTTGAAGAAGTAGGGGGAAGCATGTCACATTTAGGTGGGGAAACAGAAAAGTCTACCATTAAAGGAATCACAGGCTGAGCAACACCTGTTGTCAATGGAAAGCTTGCTAAGTTAACTTGGGTCATCATAGCTGATGAATGTGCAGGTCCCAAAGCAAAAGTTCCTGCAGGGATATCAGACACAGTAGACAGAAGTGGTGAAGAAGACTGAAGTGGTGGTACAGAAGGCGGAGAAGGATCAACTGTTTCTCCAACATTGACTGTGCTCTGGTTGACTGAGGCAGAATTATGAAACACAAACTGACCAGTGTAATGAATATTCTGAGAGTGAAGATTTCCCACAGATATGACAGGAAGCCCTCCCATGTAGGCTGGATAAGTCATCATGGTTGTACAGGAAGCTGGATGAGACATAAGAGTCTCTGATCCAGTTTCTACACTACAAATTTTGTTATCATTCCTTAATGAAGCTGTTAAATTCTTTCTATTTTTATTCCCTTCAGCATATTTTTCCATACTTCTTAGTTGCTGACAAGGTCTCACTGATCTGGAGTATTTCCCACTACCAAGGCTACTGGTAGAATCTATACTACTAGCTGACCCTGAACGTGATCGAGGGTAGTCATGTGAATGGCAATAATGTAGTCGTTCATCACCATAACAAAGTGGGCTCACTGACCTACTCCGACTTCTTCTACTACAGGGACTGTCAACACTGCTGATAGGGCTGTGACAGTGGTATGAAGGTACAGGTGTGGTTGGTATTGTAAGACATTTAGGAGATGCTGATGGTGTGCTAGGAGGTGTCTCTGGAGGAGTCCTTGGGCCTTTCAGTGGTATATGTCTTAATTTACTAGGAGAAGACTCTTGGTGATTTTCCCGGATCCGGTGGCCTAAATTTGAAGGACTCACTGCTTTAATGGTGATGGAAACAGAATTATCTTGAGAGCTGGACTTGTGGTCACCATGTTTGATGCTGTCTACCACCCACTTCTTAGGTTCCTGGTGAGGCAAGGTCCCTTTACTGGTGCTTTTTCTAGAGCCATTGCATAAATGTCCACATTTATCTGATTTTGAAAGCTCTTGCTGCTGATCATCTCTATTATTTGATGTAAAAGACAACAGTTTATCAAACCCGTTACTGACTTTGGCTTGCCATTGTTTTCCCTTTGTTTGGTCTCCTTGTTTAATATTTCCTTCTTCTTCTTTAAGAAAGTTTGTTTTGGCTGTAACAATAATGCATACACTTATAACTCAATGCCTAAATAATAAAATCATACAATTAATCTTTATTTCCATATTGAAGCTAATCATCATAAAATATCTTGGATATTAGTTAAGGATTGAAAACTATTCTCTTGCCAAATTGTATAAATAAGTATAGAGTTGTAATGTAGAAAAAATACATATGCCAAATTATAAAACTTATAAGTTGGGTCAAAATATAAGGTAAACGTAATTAAAACGTACAGTATGCTTAACCTGGAAACAGATTCATGAAGTAGAAAATATAGTCTACTGATGAACAACTAACCACAAAAGTGATGAATAATATCTTTCAGAATACACATATTCTATCTTCAGCAGAATCCTACAGTTCAAAAAACAATAGTTACAAATAACAGTATGAATGTTGAATAATTTTTTTTTTGTACAACCACAAACATTTGAAACAGTTGTGGGGGGAGTGATGTGTAAGAACCAGTAAACAAACTTGCACGTAGACTAAGTAAATACACTTATATTAAAACAAGCTTAACTCAACAGGGGTTGAGTTATTAATTATAATAGGGAAATGTTGTTTAATAATAAGGCTCTTCTCAATAGGAAGTTCTAAATTTATGTGGCCCTTAGCTAAAACTTTGAAATCCATTGATGAGATTGTGTACCCAGTAATTTGACTTTGAAGTGACAGGAAGATGACAAAATGTGACCAGTTCTGTAGCAAATTTCCATATATTCACTGTCTTTAAACTATATTAAATAAGAAATACCTTTCATTCAATTGCACATTGACCCCACTTTGTTTACAGGTCACTTACTTGTATACACCTGTTAGATGCAAAGCCATCTATCTGCATTCCTAAAACCAAATGCCAGTTAACTGTATGTATTCAGGAACAAATGAGGATTTCTTACAGGACTGGCCATTTTTTATCATCTCCCAGTACCTCTGCTATCCAGACAATAAGATGCTTACATAACCTTTTGACTCATTCATTTCAAATTTCTCTGAATGAATACTGCTGAAACAAGTAATACATTTTTTTAACCCCTGGCAGCTGCCAAGCCCATTTTAAAGAGATTTGTTTGAGCTTTATAGCTTACATGTAGATGTTACATACACATGTGTATACTCATTAAAAATGGCTCATTTTACACCATAATCCAACAGCAGTTATTTTGAAATTGGCACACAGATGTCATCATGGGTCACATTATTGTAGTATTGTTGGCTACTTGATCAACAATAGCATTTACAGTCGTTTCTTACCTAAGTATGTTATAGTTAGAGGTACAGCTCAAACTGTATTTAGGTCTTACTATACTTACTTTACTTAATTATGTATTAGTTATGTTTTAAAATGCATAATTAAAAGGTTTAAACATTTTTCAAATATACATCATACTTTCCATCCATTCTCAAGGCTTACGATATTACACATTGAACAAAAAGTTTGCTGAAGTGTTAAACTATAACATGCCTTGAGGGGACCATTGATTTTTTGATGAGATGAATAATAAGTAGTAGAGGATAAGAAAGGAAAATAAAACATAGAAAATTAACCATATGTGAAAAAGAAAAGATCTGAAATTATGAATTTAACAATAGAAAAATCAAAAAAGATATTCTACAAAAAATTAAAAGGTACATATTTTTTTTCTATTTCCTAATTTTATTTAGTTCATTGCATTGTACGTTGATGATAATAGCTAGAGTCAGTGATATGGTAGAGAAAATGAAAAATAAAATATAAACATTTACCTTAAAAACTTTTGATATCCTTTTAAGAGGTTCTAGAAATTATGTAAATGAAATATGAAAACTATAAGATGAAAAAAGTATTTTTATACTTAAAATGAAAATCACCTTGCACTCAATTTGTTAATACTTTGAATGCAAGTAACTACAATAGAAAAATAACATATTTTTAGTATAGAAACAATTATAATAATGTCATTCTTTGTGTACAAGATACTTAGGATCTTTAACAAAATCTTATCAGTTTTTCAGAGGATACGTTAAGAAATCTCAGAGTTACTGCATGTATTGCTGTACCAGTGAAATTTGTGATTCAATTTCCACAAATTTTATGAGCCTGCTATGAAAGGGTTAATGTACTGTGCTTTCTTATTTTTTTCACCTTTCACTTTTATAATTCAACTTTAGTATAACGTTAATAAACAACAAAACAGTATGAAGATCTAAGCCTTCTCTTTAGCCCCCATGAAAAATTAGCACTCACAGAAAACTGTAATGAATTTAAAAAGCTATATGACCCACCTACAGATCTTGTTAGATTTTCCAACTGTTTTCGAACACTGGTTGGTGAGACTCTGTTCATATCCAATATGTCTGCAGTCAAACAGATTCCACTTTCAACAGGAGATGAATCTGTTGCTGAAATACTGCAAGCACTAGGAGGTCCACTACTTTGTGACATAGATCCTAAACTCTCAAAACCAGAGTCAGATGCACGACTAAGAGGTGAACAGCCATGCTTTTTTGGTACACTAGTTCCGCATCCACTAAAAGAAGAGTTGTATTTTCGTTTCTGTTTTTTATGCTTTATCTCTTCAAGCTTGGGACTGCCTTTAGAACTCTTGGAAGCCAGAAGACTCCCTAAATTCAGCACTAAGCCATTCAGAGCTTTTGGGCTTGAAAACTTCTCATACGCATCTTGCTGGGACGTGTTTATGCTTGAACATTGCTTCCGAGATTTTGATCCACAGAGTTGACTATGACTCCGTTTTCCAGTTCTACATCCCTTTGACATTTCTAACTTTGAACTGCATGGTAAATGAGGATCTCTACTGAGCAGGGGTGGAAGAGTGACTTTTTCAACATACTTTTGGGTGGTTTGAACTTCTGAGGGGGATAAACAAGATGTAAACCTTGTAGTGCTCACTTCTTCATGACCAGCCAATGAATCAGACTTAGTTGAGGATGATACAGATTCATATTTATTCTCTAGAATAGTACTTTGGGGTGATGGGCTTCTGCTTGGGCTAATTGGTGAGTAAGGAATGGTAGGTAAAAGATCCTCTTGGAAAGTATTATCACCAATAAGATGTGTACAAGTTATGGAAGAATTGGTTGATTTTGTTACACTTTGGTAGTCACAAGACAAATCTCTAACATTACAATCACTGATGTTAGATGAGAAATGATTAGAGGTGGTCACAGCTAATTTTTCCTTTAATTCTTGTTCTCGACAAGCATCAAAAGGTAGACAGGATGTAAAATTATCTATATACCTATCACAGAATACTGAGCATCCAGTAAATATGGCAGAAGAGGTTGAAAATGGAGCACCTAAGTTTTCACTCTCTTGCTTCTCCAGTGTTAGAGGCTCTTTCTTGTTCTTTACAGCTCTAGAAACCAAAAGATCCTCTGAAAAAGTGTAGTTAATGTGTTGTTCCATGTTATCTTCTGGGCACTGAAGCTTCTGTTCTTTACCTGCTGTTTTCTCAAGTGAGTAAACTTCATCCTCCAACTCCTGTACCTTGCTGTGGAGAGCTTTACGTTGGGTTAGGGTGGATGAGATTTCTTTCAGGATGTGGTCTTGTATCACAGGAAGATTTTTAGGATTCTAAAATAACATGTTAAGTATAGAAGACTTTCAAACTCATTAACAATAACCTGAAACTTGACATCTTACAAGTATGATGATACAAGCATTCTTATCAAAAAACATCTAATGAATTAGAAGAGAAATGAAAAGCAGCTCTACATAACAACTAAAGACCTTTAATTCTCTTCTTTTTTTATATATGCCATTGAAGTTGAAACTTAAATTTTTTTGACAACACTAATGAAGTTGTTCTGTCCTATATACTGACTAGATTGGATATTATGCTTTAAAAAATTTCAGTTAAATAACACTGAAAACACTGGAAAATCACACAAGAAACATGACCATTAAAAATAAAGTTATTGCACTGAGTGTCCAGGTCCAGGCTTTAAAAATATTAAAAATTGACCCTCTTCTGAGATGATTCATTACATGACTTCTGATGCAAATTTCCCCTTTTCTGCAATTAAGAAAACAAGCAAGGCACAAATTGTTTTGAGGAAAGGTGATATCTGTTGTATTGAACCATATCATTGTAGCTAAATAAGTAACTTTCCTTGGAACTATGAACAAAATAATTCACTGATATTCAGAACTACAGAACTAACACAAAACACCATGTTAACAAGCTTCTCCAGAAGCACATATTTCAACTGTGAAAAGCTGTATATTTAACACTGAGATATGACAAATCAAAGTATTTTGTCACATTGAAAGAAGCACACGCCTACATAAGTATTTGGATGAAAGTCTAAGTGGTTTAATATTGTTTTGCTGGTGATACAATATTTCAAAAATGGTACAGAACATGATGTAAGCTTTTTCAAGGAATTTCTGGTGGTTGTAGATTATACCTATGGTGGTAAGTTAACTACAAGGAACAACAAGAACAATGCCAAGGTGAACACTGCAGACTATTAGGCTGTTGTGTTGACATTTCCTTTGGCATTTACCTATAATGAAAAAACTCCCTTTTCCAAAAGTGCTAAGGTTATTGGGTTTCTTTTCTTTCATAAATGTACTGCAGGGAAATATCATCTTTGTAGGGAATGGATGCCAACAGAGTACAGTTCCATCAAGGCAAAGCACCTAGTCAATTAAGTTAATGTATAAATTCCATCATTCAATACAAGTACAAAGAATTTGTAGATGTATCAGATAAATTGTTTGATGCATTTCCCATGGATTTGGTCTTTTGTGGCTTTGAATTGTTTTGCTTGCAAAGTTGATGGACAATGAAAAGCATTTTAGAGGAGGAGTGGAACAACATTGATATAAGTGTATTGTGTAAAAACCTACTATAATATAAATTGCACTGCAGAGCAACAGTTGCTAACTATATATCCAGAAATATCACACAGACAGATAACTACTGATGTTGAAGAAAGGGAGTTGTTAAGACCTTGGCACTCATCATAGTTTTATTATTGCAGATCATGAACACTCTGTAAACTACTGATTTGATTAATTTTTCAATTTACCACCCATTATTTTAACCTTAATTCCTCAAAATAGTGTTAAACTTTGAAATCGTGTGATTTAAAAAAACCTATATAAATAACTTTTTTATGGTAAATTAAATTTCAAAATTTGTTGAGAAAAACATACTGAAAATATGTAAATTTACACAAAAATAATTTTTACTGTTTATTTCAATTCCATTTAATTTAAATCATTTTTAGTAGCAAACTGTTTCAGAATAGTGAGTAATAGCATAGGAACACCATACAATCTTCAAACAGTTTTTGATGTAACTACATTAGAATCAAATAGAATAAGCTTTAACCAGAGTTTAAGTACAGCTGATAATAAATAGTAGTAAAAAAACACCCATAAGTTAAAGTAATTTGAAACCCCATATTTCTAAGTCATTACACAAAGTCAAAAAATCTGGAACCCCCATGAATGATATTTCTAAATCACTACAGAAAATTAAAAAATCTGAAATTTTCATAAATAATAATTCTATTAAAGAGTCAACCTACAAAGTTTTCGACGCATTTTTGTTATAAAAGGGAAAACATGGGTATCTTTAAGAATTTTATTACAACATGTTTCATGTTAAAATATGTTCTCCATATAAAATATGCAGTACAATTAAAATATCAGTTTTGAATATCATAGTAGGGTTGTAATGTGGCAAAAGTCAATACTAAATTAAATTCTGTTTATTTCTAAAACACATACATGTATCAACAGTCCATATCACAATATGCTTCTCAAGCTTACCTTCTTTAAACCATTTGTCTCAACAGGTAGGTTCATCTTTTCATTACCTTGAGATATTAATGGTAAATCTGATTTTGACTGCAGTGAGCTAATTTGACACTGCAATGCTAAGCTTTTGGTTTGTAGTTCCTTATGCTTCACAACAATTTCTTTGGTCTAGTAACAATCAAAAATCATTGAAAAAACTAAGTTAATTATAAAAAGAGATAAATTACAAATATGATATTAACATAATATTGATACAATCAATATTTATAAAAGAAAAGTAAAACACTGTTTTGTATACAAATATACATCAAATAATACAAACTTAATTTAATGTCAGAGATACTATGGACAGATCACAACAAATGAGGAGGTACTGAGAAGAGCAGGAACACACAGAGATATAATAAGAAAAATTAGAAGTAAGAAAGTCCAGTTCCTGAATTACGTTGAGACATTTATTTTAAAAACTGTAAAAATGTATAAATTATGGAAACCTGAAGTGACAGCAAAAAAAAATTGTGAACTGTATAATATCTCAATTATATGTTTCTTCACAAGAACATTTGGAATGCCACTTTGTGGTATATATATTGCTCAATACTGTTATTGATCTTGAGAAGTGGTTTAATTTTGGAACATTGTTTTTTTTTTTTGAATTGAATTAGGTTTTTTTTTTTTTTTTTGGTTTTTTTTCCAAATTTCTACATTTATTGAAATTAATAACATTGAAATTTATGTTGTATTGTTCATTAACATTTGTATCAGGTCCTAGTCAGGCACGAACTTGCTAACTGTTTTTTTGTAAGAG